CAGCTCAGACCCTGAGGACTAACCTTCAAGGCAGACAATAAAATGCAGAAAGTAAAAATAGAGAGAGATACCAAGTAAATGCAGCCTTTCTGAATGACTATACCCAGAAATCATCAAAAGAATTGGCTGTGTTTGACTTTACAAAATGTAAACAGTATACAGGGGTTAGTACCATTCAGTTCACCAGGAAAGAACAGCCATCATGTATTTATGTGTGCCAAACATCACAGCTCCTGGCAAAGGCTGAACAGAGTGGATAGGCTGATGGTGATGCCTTCTGTCCTTAGAGTAGGGTAATAATCAATAATCAACCAACAATCAGACAGATGATCAATAAGGGAGCTGAGACCCAAAAGTCATCTACAACATTCCACCAACAGCATCACATACACGGTCCTCCGATTCTTGAGGACAGGTGGGATTAAGGGAGTGTAGACACCAGGAAACTAGAGTAGGAGCCATGAGAGGTAAACAGAGGCTTTAAGGGAGAGAAGGAGGAAGGGTTATAGCACACATGTGGTGTGGAAGTGAACTGGAAAACACTGGAGGAAGAAGGGATTAGAGGGGAAGGAGAGAAATGGGGCAGAGGGTGTCAACAAAAGCATGGTAGGTATGAAGGTGCCTCAAGGAAACCTGATATTTTTCGGGCTATTACAAAGTAGTATATTACATTTCGAAGTAAAGCTGGGCAGTGGTGCTGCATGCCTTTAATCCCAGCACTGGGGAGGCAGAGGCAGGTGGATCTCTGTGAGTTTGAGGCCAGTCTGGTCTACAAAGCAAGTTCCAGGACATCCAAGGCTACACAGAGAGACCCTGTCTCAAAGAAATAAATAAGTAGATAGATGATTGATAGCTAGCTAGCTAGCTAGCTAAATAGATAGATAGATAAAATATATTTCAAAGTAAAATACTTGAGATCAAACATAAATAAACAAAAATGAAATGTCATAAACACAGCCCACGAACAAACTGAAAATCTTGATAACAAGTATCACAAAGACCACCATTTTAAAGATTTCTTTCAAATTTATTATCAGGAAACACCAAACACCAAGTAGAAAATGTTGGAATTCCCGCCACTCCTCCAGCTATGTGACCGCACATGCGCGGTTCAGTAGCCAATTAAGGGGCCTTACATCTTACATAATCTGTGGGCTGCGTGACTGCGCAATGCGCTCAGCGTGATCACACAGTCTGCACATTCATGGTATAGCTCCATAAGCCCACATGCGCATGTGCAGGGGGATCCATAGGAGCGGATCACAGACCCCTCCCCCTCCTCTCCTTCTTCTCCTCCTTCTCTCTCCCTCTCTCCCTCTCTCCCTCTCTCCCTCTCTCCCTCTCTCCCTCTCTCTCTCTCTCTCTCTCTCTCTCTGCGCGCCTGTCCGTGCACAGGCCTGGTCAAGCTATCTTCTGTCCCTCCCCCCTCCCTTCTAATAAAACTCTGCTCTGATAATGGGCTTTGTCGTGCCTCATGACCTTTCTCATACAGTAGTAGTGCCACGTATTAAAACCAACAGAAAACCCAGTGAATAATATAAGCAGCAGACTTTAAAAAAAAGAAAAAAGAGACAGAAATGGCCAATGGAAATCTGTAAGATTTCCTAACTTCCTGCAATTAAAAAAATGTAAATCCAATTAAGAGTGTGGCATTGTCCACCTGTTCAGTTGGCACAGACACGGGGTACTGGTACCAGGTGCTATGAGCATCTGAGAAAACAGACATTGTCCTGTCATGTGAAGAAAGGGGAATCTGTGCCACCTCATTGGAGGACCACTTGGTAAGAGCTACTAAAGGTGAAAGGAAACCACTCCCACTTTCAGTCAGGAAGCCCACCTGGGAATTTATAACGCAAGCAATAATAGGTCCAGCCTATATTGTTTGCTCCCAGGGTCCGTGGAAGAGTCTAACAACCAGCTGAGGATTCTAATCTGAGGGATATTCAGTGAATCTAAGCACACTGAGTTCTTTAGTCCATTCACTTTATTCTTCCATGGCGATTCTATCTGCACAGTTTCTTTTCTGCTCTCTTACTTAGTTCCTCTCAGTCCCTCCTGCCCTCGGTCCCTCCTGCTCTCGGTCCCTCCTGCCCTCGGTCCCTCCCGCCCTCGGTCCCTCCCGCTCTCGGTCCCTCCTGCTGTTCTCTCATCATTCTACCTAGTTCTTTCCATCTCAGTCCTCCTCTTTGTTCTTCTCAATCAGTTCTCTCAGTGCTCTCAGAGAACCAGTATATATACCCAGACAGTAATTCTTTGGCAAAGCAATGTGAGGCTTGAAGTTTTCAGGGTGATAAGGACCCGCACATAAAGCAATTAATTGTCAGCTTCCAATCACAACCCAAAAGGGGAGTGACTAAAGGGGAGTTCTCTGGTAGGGTCAACTAAAGGCTAAGATCAATTGGTAATTTATGTGCTCAAACTATAATCTAGAAATGGCTAGGTAGAATGTTAGGGGTCAATAAGTCACAAGAAAGTAACTGTCTTTGGTGCCACTTTTCCCGCTAGTCCCAGCTGTAGCCGCTTTCTGATAGGGAGGGGGGCATATGCTAGGTGGCTAAGCAACCTGTGTCAGAGCATGTAGTATTTGATTAGTAAAAGCACTTTCACTCAGAGTAGTTGCTGAGGAGAAAATCTAAGAATAGCACCTGGCTGAGGAAGAATAAAAACTTGATTTGCACAAGAAAGAAGCTTGGCACCTATCACCTGCCTGGCCTTGTAGGCAATCTCCTTGGGTCAGTGGGAAGTAACTGCCTTAACTCAGTAACTAGCAAATGGCTAAAACATCATCCCAGGAGTGTGAGCAGTAAATCTCTTAAGTTAGAGTCTTTTATAAATAACCCAGGGTGAAGGTAAGGGGTTGAGGATTAAATTGTTAGTGATTCTTTTCTCTATCTGTGAGATGAGCTAATGTTTATCTATGTGCAGTTTTGTTCTTGGAAAAAGGTATCTTTGCTGAAATACTCTGGAGAATGGCCCTGGCCAGATATATGTTAATGAAAAATAAACACAGCTGGGGACAGTTGTCCAATTACCCCAAATGTATAGGGAAAGTTGTGCCCAAGATTGAGATGCAGTCATGAGTTTACATGTACACATAACATGGAAATGCACGGTAAATGGGGAAATATCATAGCTGTTATTGCACAAGAAGTTTACGATAGAGACAGCCAGTTCATTCAAAAGGCAGTAATTCCATAATACCTTGTGTGATGGTTTCCTCTAACAGAACCCTTAGTTCTGATCGGTTGACCTTCTGAACACTACTTGTCACTACTGTATACTCTCATGGATTTTCAATACCAGCGGCTCTCAGTAAATTTACTACCCAGGACAGTTAACACACAACATGACAGCAAAGCATGACATTCTTTTTCACTGTAGCCCCGTTCAAAGAGGGAAAAAAGTCCACATGGAATCTCTTTTTTTTTCTTTTTTATAACTTGGTATATCCCTGAAATGAAACAGGATACAGCATTTTCCCAAGGCCCTGGGTGAGGCTGGGGAGATGATTCAGTGAACAAAGAGATTGCCATGCCAACGTGAGGACCCAAGTTTGTGTTTCCAGAACCCACATAAAAGCCAGATGTGGTAGCACACATGGCTACAGTTCTGACATTCCTACTGCAAGATGAGAAGTGAGGACCAAGGGATCCCTAGAAGCTTGAGAGATAACCTTACAGAACCAATAAGAGACAGTCTCTAAGAAGGGAAGGAGAGACACAAGCTTGTCTCTGACATCCGTGCAGAAGGCCCACCCCCGAACATACCCCCATCACATACACATGCAAGACTTTTTTAAAAGGCTCTGTGAAGGATAACATGGAGAGATTGCTGAAAGTTAAAGAGAGTCTAGTGACAAAGAAAGAGTGCACGTGTGTGTTTTTCCCTCTGAGCACACATGTTAATTCATCTGCCAACTATTTACCAAGCATGTATCATGTACCAGGCACTGGTGTGCCACCAGGAACAAAACAGACAAGGATGTGTGTCTGGAGGAAGGTTGTCACTGAGAGATTCGGGCACATACAGCAGGTGCATATCGAGGGGAAAGGTGAAGAGTCCCAGGGAGAAACATGCTCTGCTGGAGACGGGGAGTGCTGGGATGAGGATTCTGCTCTGTGATCCCTTGACCCACTTGAAAGATGGCACCTGAGACACAGGCGAGTAAAAGAGTGATCTGTGTGGGCGTTGGGAGGACAAGCAAGCAAGGTGTTTTTGCCATAGTTAAGATCAGTGAACAGGCAGTTCTCTCAAAGCAGTGGAGACTGTGAGAGGATGGACAAGGACTATTTCACTTTCTGCTCTAATGTTTAAAAAGATCCATTAGTTTAAGAAGCAAATGGAAGGGGTACGTGGGGAAAAAAAGGGGCAGAAGAGCCAAGATGTGTCAGGGGCCAGGATACTCCAGGGGGCAGGATACTTCAGGAGGCCAGGATGCTCCAGGAGGCCAGGATGCTCCAGGAGGCCAGGATGCTCCAGGAGGCAGCTCTAGTCTTACCTTAAGGGGGACCTGGCCTGCAGGAAGGAACTTCATGGATTACCAGGAGAGGGTCCTTGGTCAGGTGAACTTGGAGAGCTTTGGATTAGTCTTCACTTAAGGACTTCTCAGAGCCTTTAAAATATTCCCATCCAAGTGGGAAAAAAGAATACAGTGTTCCCCAAGCTGTCCTGGCCATGGAGGCAACTACTGCAAACCACCTCCGGCTTCTCACTGGAGACAGTCAATGCTGTACTCGGGAGACAGAGGCAGGCAGATCTCTGAGTTCAAGGTCTACAGAGTGAGTTCCAGGACAGCCAGGGCTACACAGAGAAACCTTGTCTCAAAAAAGGTGGGTTTTTGTTGTTGTTGTTGTTGTTGTTGCTGTTGTTTTATTAAGTGTGGTGGAGGTGGGGGTGGCTCACTCTAGCAGTGATGAAGGGGAGTCCGATGGAAGCTAGACCAGAGAGAGTAGACCCCAGGGCTCCCATCATTGCACACATCTGTCCTTCTGCCTATGAGGATGTTCCCGGTGGTCAAAGACAGTGACACAAACGCCTTCAAAAGGCCCTCTGCTCCTGACATTCACAGCCTGCGGGGAAAGACCCTGATGTGGTGGGACCAGCTGACATTGTTGGTTCAGAATGACGTCACCACAGCATATGGTACCACTCTACTGCCCAGGACTGACTTCCTCCCTCCCAGGCATTACATGGAAGGCAACTGAGGTTCCAGAGATGAGGTGAATGATGGCACCATCCACGGAAGGTGGCGGCCAGGCCCCAGTTGCACAATCCCACATTAACTCAAGCCTGTTAATATTAACCTAGTCTCCAGGCTAGAGAGGCACCAACAGGTCCCAGTCACTACCCTCATGAGGTTGTTTTGTTCATTTTGTTGGCTAACTCACCTCACTCTCTCACTTGGCTTTCCACAACAATCCTGTTCAATCCTCCATAAATATATGGACTTTTATTTTATAGTGCTGGCGATAGAACCAGGGATTCTGCATTCTAGGCTATTTCTCTACTCCTGAGCTACATCTTCAGCCCAAAACATAGCTTTAATTTCTGCCTGCACGAGGGGATGGGCAGAAACTGGAAAACTGAGGGAGAGAGAAAATCCTGTAGAAAGAGCATGAGCTGTCAGCCCCAGGCTTGCCACAGAGTACCATCTTGAGTCCCTTTTAAGAACTGTGCCATCAGCCAGGCGGTGGTGGCGCACGCCTTTAATCCCAGCACTCGGGAGGCAGAGCCAGGCGGATCTCTGTGAGTTCGAGGCCAGCCTGGGCTACCAAGTGAGTTCCAGGAAAGGCGTAAAGCTACACAGAGAAACCCTGTCTCGAAAAACCAAAAAAAAAAAAAAAAGAACTGTGCCATCAAAACTACTCCTAAAAATACATTTCTTCCCCAGGGGGCGTTTGCTATGTTTGGACATCTTTTGAGGGAGATTGCTAGTTAATGTTCAGATTCAGTCAAGCAAGCAATCATCCATTGAGCCTCTCATACTGAGTAAGTTCACTCGGTCATCTTGCTCTATGTGTCCCCACAGACTGGTCCAGGATTACACACTGTGCTTTGTGTGGGGTTCGTAGGAACTCGGTGAATGATTCTGAATTATGGGGGTTTTGACTCTCTGCTGTCCTGTTGTTTGTTCAGAGGATTGTCCTGGATGTTGCCATGAGCTGACACAGGTCAGTGTGCACTCTGCATGGGTGCCCACTTTGGGTGGTCCACCATGGAGATACTTCAGCATTGTTAGACATTTGGAAATTTTCATAATAATATGACATCCCTTATTGTGCTACACATTGACAGACAGATGCTGCTGTGGGTTGAATTACATTTCATATGTGGAGGTTCTAACATCCAGTAACACAGAACGAGACCATATTTTGGAACCAGGGTCTTCAGAGAGTCAATCAAGTGGAAATGAGGGCGTTGGGTGCATCTTAACCTAACTTGTATCCTTATAAAAGGGGACATTTGAGTGTGAAGGAATGGAGCTGGGTAACCCACTTGAACATAGAAAGGATACCATGTGAGGCTACTGAGAGGTCATCATAGATGTGAACATGAAGATGACCACCTGTCAGTCAGGGAGAGGTCTGGGCAGGGCTGGGGAATCAATTCTATCAATAGGATTTCTGGCCTCTGGAACTATGAAAGTAACGGAGTTGCTTCTGCCTGCTCTTCACAGGAGAAGGAACCCAGGGCTAACAGTGTCCTGATCAGAACTTGACACTTGAACTTGAGTATTCATGTGAGGATGGCATTCAGTAGAGTTTGAGGGAAGAAGGTTCCTCTTGCAAACGTGAGAACCTGGGAAGTGAGCATGTACTAATGTCTGCCTTGGGAGGAATGAAGGGACAGAGGAGTGTCATCCCTGGGATCTGAGGGGCAGCTCATGTCTGTCTGGTACTGAGGCAAGGAGCATAGAGTTTTTACCATTGCTGACTCACCCAATGGCATCTCCCAAACAAGGATATCCAAGAAAGGGGTTGGGGTCATTCCTGGAGCTAGCCATTCATGAGCTGTGTCTTGTTGGGTAATACTCTTGGACTCCTCTTTGCTGTTCACAAAGGCATGGGTACTCATAGTTCCTTCGAGGGTTTGGGGGAGGTTTTTAATACAGTACTACATCTAAAGCTCTAGGTATGCAGTAGGTGCTCAAGCAATGGGGGCAATCACGCTGAAACAATATGGAGATTAGCCAGGTGAGGTTCAGTAAACTGGCTCAAAGGCTTGTTTGTTCAATAAATAAGTGCAGGTGAAGGTCAGCAGCATGTGGGTGTACAAGTGTAGATTTCAGAATCAATATTCAGTTTCTATCTCAGATGTTTATCCCCATCGGACACACTGAGAATTGATTATGGCTCCCCACCAGTGCCCAGAGACAGCATGGTACAGTAGACAAAGTATTCGCTGGTATGGAGCATAAAATAAGATTCTAATTCTCATTTTGCCTCCAGTGGGGCAGACCTTGGTGAGGTCCAGGTTCTTCCGACCTGGACTTCCTCGTCTCCCAATGAGAGCGCTGGCCTCTAGGAATGGTGAGCACTGGTCTGTGTGCCAGGCCTGCTCTCACACCCATGGGACACATCACTGATCACCATGGCTCTATTTCTTCTCAGTTCAAACAGTTCCAGAATCCCTACCACAGTAATTCTCCAGGATGCACCACAGAGGACCCAAGATGGCAGCTTGGATGGAAACAACTTAGTGAGTTGCCCTAATGATCTCTAAAGTGCCTCCTAGGTGTTGGTTGTCCGAGTCTATTATTCTTTGCTGGAAATTGACTTCATTATGCATCTCCCAAGGTCTTTTCCTCTCTACCTCTATCCTCTTTCTCTCTCTGTTGTGTTTATGTGGGTACATGCACATGTATGTATACCTGGCAATGTGGAGGCCAGAGGTCGACAGCAGGTGTCTTCCTCAAGCAGTCTGCACCTTATTTTTTGAGAAGTGTTCTCTCACTGAACCTGAACCTGAACAACTCAGGTAGGCCAGTTGGCTGGTGAGCTCTAGAAATCCATCTGCCTCTGCCTTCTCCCAATACTGGGGTTCCAGGTGTGCATTACATCACCCAGCTTTGACACAGGTGCTGGGGATCTGACCTCAGGTCCTCATGCTGGCATGGCAAACACTCTACTGACTGAGCCTACCCTCACCCTCTCTCAAGGATTTTGTGTGGTGAATATTCAAGCCTATTTTCTGGGTGGGATCCTTCATAAAGACTTGCCCTGCTCTTCCTTCCCTCTCTGCCAACTTATGTATCTAGTGTCCTGTCTAGGACCAGAGTCCTATATCCTAGCGTACATCACCCAGATCCTTTTTGTGACTCCTGGATATCTAGACTAGTTTCAATAAGACTACCAGCCCACCATACTCAACATGGAAGTTGAGTCCCCTGAGTCATTCGTTAATGGTACAAACATCATCCAAACAAAACCTCCCTATGGGATCTAAAGATGAACCCCTTTTGGAAAGTGATTAGGACTAGATTAGGTCATTAGGGCAGAGCTCCCGTGACTGATGGTTTGTAAGAAGTAGGAGAGAGGCCAGACTGGCAGATATGAACATAGACTCCCTGCCGCATGATATCATTAGCTGCCTCACGACAATGACAGCAAGGAAGGTGTGTGCAGAATGGAACCAACGCCAGCAGCATGTCCCTGAAGCCTCACATCAGTGAACTAAGCAATCCTCTTTTTTTAAATCAAGCTAACCTGCCCCAGGTATTTCATTATGATCATGTTTATGCAACATCTCCGAGTGGGATTTGTACAGATATTTCACACGCCTTTTGCCCATTTCCAAGTCATGGTTAGAAGATCACAGTGCTCACCCACAGACAGAGAGAGTCCAAGATGTGCTCTCAGCCCTGTCTGCTAGAAAGTGGGAGAGCCAATGACAATGACTGCCCATTCACCCTTAGAAAATTTGGCCAAAGAAACCCCAGGGTAAACTACTAAACCAAAGAAAGAACAGCTCTGTGTGTGTGTGTGTGTGTGTGTGTGTGTGTGTGTGTGTGTGTGAAGGACTCTCAGATCTAAGCTGGTGGCTATGAAACACATTCAGTTCTGTTCCTCTTCCAGCTTTTGAGACAACTCCAAAATGTGCTGGTTCCCATGAAGCTGCTCACTAGAGCAAAACATGACTCTAGGTGCCACAACGCCCAGCTCAGCCAGCTTGCCTCGGTTTCTCCAGGCTGTTTACTTTGAACAAATCACTCAAACTTTCCTGGGCTTACCTGCGAAATACAGTGACTGGCTCTTGTGGGAGTCCTCAAAGTGCATCCCTAGCAGACAAATGAGTCAAGAGGAGCTGCCCTCCCTGCTCAAAATATTGATCTGTTATTGCTTGTGCTTCTACACAGAGGAACAAAATACTGCTCATGCAGATCCTGGAGACACACAAAAGGGAGCAAAGATGATGAGCTGCAGAGATGCCATGGGAATACATGGGGCTGGGGAGCCACCGAGGGAACTATTCCACGTCACTGAGCCAGCATTTCCTGTACCTGCTTTCTGATTGTGAATGTCCTATCTTCCTTTGTGTTCAGCTTAGAGCCTCCTGGTGAAGAAGGCTTCATCTTAGTGAATGCTAGCTGAATTCTGAGATTCAAGGAGAACTAAAACAACTCAGGGTTCTGAGGCAGGCCAACATAGAAATGGGTAAGAACTTAGGACTCTACTTTGGGTCTGTCTATCTATCTATCTATCTATCTATCTATCTATCTATCTATCTATCTATCTATCTCCACTTCACAGCCTAGTTCTTTTACTTGCACTTAACACACACACAAATACACACACACACACACACACACACACACACACACACACACACACACACACACACACACATACACACACACACATACTGCTCCAAACAACTCACCTTTCAACCTCAGAACCCCAACTGCAATGAGTTACATGTACTCTCCAACAATAATAAATGTTTCTCTGCCCCAACAACAATCAAGTGTACCATTCAAGTACATCATTCCCAGTGTGGGTAGGAAAAATAGAAAGGCTGATCTGGCTTGAACTAGTTTTGGGTACATGTACAGTAAGGCAAATTGTGTCCTTATACCCTATTCACCATCTTATGTATGTACATACTTGGGCATGCATATAAAATCATACGCATATGGAGAGAAACATGAGCAGTAGGGAAAAAATGAATGCATGACCTAATCCACCAGTCAAATTAAAGAACCACCCAAACTAGACCCCTGAGTAACCAGCTCCATCCTCCTTTAGACCCCACAAAAAGAGACTCCAGTCGACAGTCTGGGGCCCCTGAGTACTCTTACTCCTGTGGCCCACTGTCAAACTTAATTGTGTGTCCCTCTATAATCTGCACAATGGTTTCTCTCCAGATAAAATTATTGTGTTGCTTTGCACACTCATGTGTCTTTGCACACTGGTGTGTGCCAACTTTCAATTCTTTGGCTAAGACAGCAAGAACCAGAAACATCTGGCCAAGAGTCTGACCACAAGGAATAGTTCTTTCATCCAGTCCAGAGGTGTTCACATGCCCTTACCACAGTCCCAGAAGTGTTTGAGGGTGGACACAGCAGGGACGCATGCTCCCAAATGATGCCTAGTTTATTGGAAAGAGTGACCTAGCCTGTTTTTCTCTAATCCCTTCTCAGTGTCCAGCCATGGTCAGACATAAGCAGGTGCTTCAGGTGGGAGTGGATGGAAGGCTGGCTGGGTGGATAGGATAGGATAGGAGAGAAGATGTCCCAGGGTACCCCTCTTCTTGCTTCTTGCCATGACCTCCTGCATGACCGTTTTCCACACTAAGCTGGCTCAGCAGTCATGTACCTCCAGGTTCCCCATGCACCAGTGAGCACTGCACTAAGGCTGAAACAGTTGCCCAAGGAGGGTACATGCTGTCCTTGCCATATGGCCATGACTGCCTGGACTGGCAAGAAATGTTTGCTTTCCCCTCACTCTTTTGTCTGGGGCAGCTGTGTGTATATCAGACTCACACTGTATGTCTTGTAAGTAAAACTTATTTTCCTCTGGCCTGAGGTCTGGGCCCTCAGAGCTCCTAGTCTGTCCCTGGTGATATGGCCCTCTAAATGATCAGAGACCACTGTTAGGGTCAGCTCCTAGAATACTCCAGCCTTGCAGGGGCAACCTATCACAGGGCCTGGAAGACTAGTTTTCAGAGGGTCTTATTTCAGAGGGACACCTGTTCTGAATGGGAGTGGCTGTGAAAGAGAAAACAAAGCTTCATTGTTGGGGACACAGGCTGTGTTAGAAACCTGGCTCTGCCACTAACTGGCTGTGAACACTGAGGAGGCTGCCTGACCTCCCTGGGCCCAAGTTTTGGCAGGGCTCAAGGGATTAAAAGACATATTGCTCAGAGTCCTCTCGATGACTTAAAGGACAAGACTATACTGAGTAGATTAGTGAGTAGGGGTTGAAAGAGTCATAGTGAGAATTCAAGAAGGAGGCATCCTGAGGTAGGTCACAGGGCAGGTAAGAGTAGGACACCGCCCCGCGTTGAAGGAGTGGAGAACATCTGGAAAGAGCTGGAGAAGGGCTTTCTTGGGTGGCTGAAGGATACTGGAGGGTGGCACTGCACCAACCAGGGAATGTAAGATGTACCAGCCTTCCTTCTCCTGCCAAACTCAAGAACAAGCCATTGGTTACAGAAGAGGTGGAGCCCAATCCCAAGACCTCAGACTCCAAGGGACAGTTTTGAGCTGCTAAAGGGAACAACTTGTTTCTGAGTTCACCCCTCGTTTCTCTCAGTAACTCTCATGACTTTCTGATTACTTTTCCCAAGACTGTGGGCTGCTTTGTGTGGAAGGGTGGGTTCTTCTGTAAAACACTCACTCTTGCCACCTTTTATCCGGTCAGGATTAAAGGCAAGAAAGTCAGCTTCCTAGTCCTCCCCAGTGTCTCTGGCCCCAGCTGGAGCTCCAAAGTTCAGTGTATCCATAGCACTGTTGGGCTCAGCCTAGCCCTGAAGAGCTGACCACCCAAGTCCTGATCAGAACCTCAGTTGTAGGGAAAGAAGCCAGAAACACAGCTCACAGGAGACTGAGCTGTATAACTTCTTGGCTCTAAGACCACAGGACTGCGTTCTAGTTGCTTCTGCAGAAACCCGGGGGAAAGGACACTCTCTGACTTGGTAGAGTTGCGCTATGATATTGAAACAGATGTATACAGGGTTCTACTTATAGTGCCTCACTGATGTCCACGGGTATCCTTAAGAGACCTATTACATCCACAGCTGACCCAGGCACTGGTTGACGCCTGCCCTCTCTGGCCTCATCCCTTACTCTCAGTCTCTTCCCTTCCCATTCTAGCTACACATCTTCCCTATGTCCCTCAAACAAGGCATTCTCACCACTGGACTGTTTCATGTGTCAATTTTTTCTCTTGAGAATGAATGTTCCTCCCCTGGCTGTTCTATGGCTTGTCCAATGCACTGTTAAGTCTTTAATCGGTATCACCTTCTAGGGTGTTACATGGATATGTAACTATCTCTTTTATTTCTCTCCTTAGTCAATATCCCCTTCCAGCTAATTGGCTTTCTTATCAATCATGTTGTTTATATTCCCTTACTTTGTAAGATCAGTATGAACAAGGATCTCTCACATGTGCCTGCATGGCTTACCACAAGGAATGTTCCTGGCATGTACAGCCTAGTGCCTCTCTGACAGACAAAGTATGATGTGTCTCAGATATGGCTGGCTCCTCTGATTCCTGTGCACTCTCTTGTCAGGCAAATGGAAATATCGCTTTAACCCGAAGCTCACAGAAATGAGGAACTTCTCAACAGATAAGGGGACCCAGGTCATGGTACCCATGATGCAGCGGGTAGACTGGTTCCAGTTACAGTATTTCCCCCACCTGCACAGCTATGTCCTCCAGCTGCCCTGCACCTGCAACGTCTCGGGTGTCTTCATTCTTCCAAATGAGGGAAAGTTTGAGGAGTGTGAGAAGGCACTATTGGAGGAGAGCTTTGACACGTGGATTTAGCCCTTACCACTGAGGTGAGGACTCAGCTATCCCCACCCTTCCGCAGTGCTACAAGACCTTTTCCATGGCCACCTTGGCTCTGGGCGAGAGGTCTTTGGGGCATGACATAGGATCTGGGACTTGGTCACACACTTATTATCAGACAGGATTCAGCCATTTACACCTTCCAAAGATGGGAAAAAATGCACAAAACAAAATCACCACCATCACTCATCACCACCGTCACCACCATCACCACCGTCACCATCATCACCACCATCACCATCATATCACCATCATCACCACCATCACCATCATCACCATCACCACCATCACCAACCATCATCATCACCACCATCACCACCATCACCATCATCACCACATCACCACCATCACCACCATCACCACCGTCACCATCATCACCACCATCACCATCATATCACCATCATCACCACCATCACCATCATCACCACCATCACCACCATCACCAACCATCATCATCACCACCATTACCACCATCACCAACCATCATCATCACCACCATAATCACCACCATCACCACCATCACCATCATCACCACATCACCACCATCACCATTATCACCATCATCACCACCATCATGATGGTATCAGCCCACTGCCTCTTTCTGTGAGAGATTTACAGTTCACAACAGTGTTTTGAAGCCCTGTGGAGTTATAAGCGAAGAGGGGAGGTGGGAAGGTGATTCAAGTGGTAAGTATTAGAACCAGAGTTAAACCCCCAAAACCTATGTGCAAAAGAGCTTGCAATCTTAGTACCAGGCCAATCTGATGGAGTCATTTTCTCAATCTCGGTTGAAGTTCCTCCTCCCAGATGACCCTTTGCTGTGTCCAGCTGACAAAAACCAAACAAAACACAAAACAAACTAACCCACACAGTGAGCTTCAGGCTGATGAGAGACCTGTCTCAAAAAGGGGGGAGGGGTGGAAAGATCCCAAGGAACAATGCTGCTGTGTCTCCCTTTGACTTCTACACATGTGTGCACGCACATGTGCACCTGTACACATGTACAAAGAGTGGAAGGAAGAGTGTGTCACTAAGAAGGCTGTGAGCAGCACTAACAATGCTGGGGAAACCTTGTTTGGATGCTTCCCTGCTGTGCCACTTATGAATGGATGACCTGTTAGTGACCCTACTGGGAACTAGAAGCTAGTCTCTCTACTGACTGCCTTGTCCAGAAGGAAAGTACTGACTTTCCAGCCACTCACTCATCTCTGCCCTGTTCTAACATCGCTGACTTTCCAGTCATTTGCCCATCTCTGCCCTGTTCTAACATCGGTTTGCTCATGTCTCTAAAATAAGAAAGAATGGGAAGAAAACAGGAATAACTGAATGCTTTAAAACAGTGGTTCTCAACCTTCCTAATGCTGCAATGCTTTAATACAGTTCCTCATGATGTGATGACCCCCAATCCATAAAATTATTTTCATTGTTATTTCATAACTGTAATTTTGCTACTGTTACAGGTTGTAATGTAAATATCTGTGTTTTGCGATGGTCTTAGGCAACCCCTGTGAAAGGGTCGTTCTATCCCCTGAAGGGTCATGACACACAGGTTGAGAACCTCTGCTATAAAGTCATGCTTTAACTATACAAAAATCTAGCCTGTGGCCAGCATCTCTTGCTTCTGGATGTTTGAGCTCTCAGGTACACCCCCAAACCCTTCAGGTTCCAGGGGATTGCATGCATGTGAAAGATGGAGAAGTCCTGGGCCAGGCAAGTCTTGCTGCTTCCAGATGGATCCCCCAGCTCCCCACCATGGCAAACCACTTATGTCTTTTCTGCCAAGCCCCGTCTGCACAGCTGTTCTATCTTCTGTGGGCTAGAGTCCTGAGCATCAAAGAATGCTTAGAAGTACCCATAGCCACGGTTCCTACCAGATGTCAGAAATGTCTCCATCCCTAGATATAACAACTAAATTGTCCTTAGTTGCTGCTATATGTCCCCTGACGGTTAGAGTTGGTCTTAGGTCTGAGACTTTGTTGCATTCAACACCTTCCTGGCAGGACAGAGAAAGAGCTAGCTTCATGGAGCTTAAGGTTGCATTCACCCTGACTGGACTTCTCCCACCTCAATGCCCCTCCTGTGGAAACAGCTGGGAGACTCACAGCTCATCCATGCTTTGTCCATCTGTGAAGGCATCTGAAGCTATTGTGAAGCTCCATTGGGCCAATGCCTGGGAGTCCAAGTGGAGGGAGATAGACTCCTGCTCTTGTGTTTCAAGCACTTCAAAGAAACCAGGAAGATTTGCTTTGGACACATGGTCATCTCTGGGTCTGTCCCACAATGCCTCCAATATGACTGCTGGGCATCAAATGTCCTTTTGAGTGCTTGATATTTAAAAAAAAAAAGTTTATTTCTTACTTTATCCTCCCTAACATAAGCAACAAGAAAATACTGTGTATATTTAAGGTGGGCAATATAATGTGCATGGGCATAGAGAAACACTGACCATACTCAGCCCAGTCATTGCCCCACACGGGACCCATTTTGCATGTGTGGCTGAAACACTTGGGAAGCCTCTACTTAGCAATTGCAACTACACAGTGCTTGCACTGTGCAGTGTAAACACCTCCAAGTCCAGGGCTGCATGGTGGAAATTCAGAAATATCCATCCCTCTTGAGCCAAGCAGCACCTCCCATTTCCTCTCCCCCAGCCCCTGACGGGCATTCTCTATGACCAGGAGTGAGACTCCTTTGGTCTCATGATCCAATGTGTGAACATATAAGTTCATCTGGTGTCCTTTTCAGACACAACAAGGAAACGTGGCACTTAGTCTGCCCTAGGACCTTTGAAGTCCAAAGGGCAGACAGAAAGAGGAAAGGAAGCGACGCCAAGCTGAAGCGCAGACAGACAGAATATTTTTGTTTCTGTCTGGATCAGGGCAGTTACAGCTTCTCTGAGAAGAAATACTATAGCTAAAGGACCCTCAGCTTTTAGAATCAGTGTGGCTTTGTGTCCCAACCTCCTGCATGCTCCATGACTAGCAGGGAGAACCAGGAGGTGAAGAATGAAACTCAGGTCAGCACTACTTCAGCAGGTGCTGGATGAGTTTGACCTCATGGTTTCGTTTTTCTTATACATTAAAACACAGTAAAACTTCAGGGAAAGATTTCCATGTGACAATTATCACAACAAAGCTTTAGACAAAGCTACGTAGAAACTCCACAGCAAAGTAGCAAAGCACTTGTGACCTTACAAGAATGAATTCTATTGGTTGGTGAACAGAGCTCAGGGCAAGGACCTAAGGAGGAAGGATTTGTAATGAGCATAAGGATAGATTCTATTGGTCGAGGAGCAAAATACATGGGACCTCTTTCATGAGGATGGGTTCTTTTTACTGAGAGATAAAGCTCAGAATTAGGGCCCAGGATTTGAGGGGATTTAGGAAGCCTGGCCCAGAGAATAGCACAAAGACCACCAGGTTGTTAAACAGCATCTACTCCAGCCTTCCAGGTGACCAGGTGACAGTCATTTCCTTAATTTGAAGAAGATAGGTCGGTGTGGTTAACAAGCTTCATTCCTCCAATGCTTGCTTTAAGCTGTGCCTGCTACAGCTTTGGACAAACTCATAGCTTCTTTGATCGCCCATCTCAGCTTCTGAGCAAGCCCTCTGACCACCTCCCAGCATTACCAAGAGGATGGAAGGAAATGGCCTTGAGGAGTCCCTGGTGCAGCCTGCCTGTTGCAGACATGCAGCATAGAGCTGCTCTTGTTTGTTCGTGGAGTTGGCAGGCTGGGGTGGATGATTAGGCAACATGATTTCAACTGTTTTCTTCCTTCATCTCCCTGAGCAGCAGGAGGCAGCTGTATTTCCCCAAATTCTCCGTTCCTGTTGCTCTTCGTCTGGAGCATTTCAGGTATGCTACCAGTAGCCTTAATCTGTTCTATGAACACATGGACCTCTCGGGAATTGCCCTGTCAAAGGCACCCCTGAAGGTCACCACGGTAGGTTAACACTCTGTGGCCAGGATCTTTATGCCATTAAGGTTCGTATGGTTCCCCTTCCCTAACTCATCCAGGGAAAGATAATGAGCACCCACAGGGCAGGACAAAATGGTGAATAACAACTCACTGTGTCCTGGGCCTGGCTATCCCGCAGAGATGGCTGGTCTGGGGAAATAAAATGGTGGGTTCTCAAGCTCACTCCCTGCTGTGGAGACAGCCAGGAGCTTGGGTGCTCCAATGCTGGGTGTGTCTATGCACCAGGGGGGCCTCATAACCCCAGGTGACATGAGGGCACCCTGTGATTACAAGAGTGTGGTGTCATTACAAAAATGGCTTGTGTCTACCCTGCGTCATCCCCACCACCACCACACTGCAGAGGTTAGCAAGTTAGGTTACAGCCGAATCCGGTGGGCAGGGGTGGAGTGGAGTCAAGTCACACAAGGGGGCTTTTCCTGGAACAGAGGGGGGGTATGCTAAATTACTGGCTGGCAAAGTTACAGGGGAAGTCCAAAGAACAGATGCTGGACCCACTGGCTAAATGGCCTGGCCTTCAGGTCACATGGGGCTTGAGGGCAATTGGGGGCTTTGGCAGGAATGACTGAATGGAATCTGAACCAGTGGAAAGAGAATGCTGCAGGCTACCCGAGAAATAAGCCAGTGAGTGACAGCAGAGGCAGGCTTCAAAGAAAAGGGTGGGAATGGAAAGAGAATCTGGAAAAGATTCATTTCTGGGGTGGAAATTCCAGGACTCAGTGACTTGAGATGGGGCAAATAACAAGAAAGCTATCCTTCTGGGAGGCATGGCAATGAACATGGTATAGGCAAAGGAGCATTGCAGAAGTACAAACAGTTGAGGCTAAAAGCACACTGCTTCCCAGAAAGCCAGGCTGCCTCTTGGCTAGGAGCAGAGAGAGAAAAACAGCCACAGTGTAAAGCCAGAGGTGGGGGGAGGGTTCAGACTGAGTGGAGAACAAGCCACAGTGTTCTAGAACTCTCAGAGATCCAGAATGAGTCTCCATTGTTGATGGGTCCTAACGGCTCCCTCAGGGGAGGGAGTGAGAAGGTGCAGTGTCAATGACACAGACACCGGGAGTCAGATGGAAGACAAACAGCAGACTTATTTATTTAATGCAGGGAAGGTCTTATATACCCTCCTCCCAGCACCCAGGCTGTGTCCTGACCTGGTGACATTGCGTGGTAGTCACCCCTCATTAGCTAGGCATGATCAGGACCTCTGACAGCACCTGTTGCTAGGCCCTCAGGCAGACTCCAGGTTGGCTCATAAGGAAGTACATTTTGTGCATGCCTCAGCAACTGGTTTGAGACAATTTCCTTGACTCTATGGGTGTGGGAGCCCGTTCTCGAGTTCCTCGTGGCTTTACCCAGCAGGTCCGCATAGAGAATGATTAGAACCATGGGCCTGAGTGCAGGTGTCTGAGATGGTCTGCACTTGGCTGTGCTGAGGGAAGAGGTCATTTGCTCCACCCCTTGGCATCTCTATAAAAACCCTGGGACAGAGACAGTCAGGGCCCTTTGGAATAGGTTCCAGGCCTTCTTGAGGCTATCCTTTATTTTCTATCTGTTTATCTCCGCAAGATTCTCCGCAATAAATCCTTCTAATATTTCCTGCTGCTCACACTCAAGAAAACTCTGGGGAGCTGTGGGTTTGGTGGGTAAATGCCCCACATATGGGCCTGTCCTACTATATGTCCACCCTTTTATTTTATTATCTGGGTGCTCAGTGAGAGTCAGAGTTGTTTGCTCTAGCCTTGTTGACCCCACCTCAGGCTCAGCAACTAGACTGTGCCTGTCTTATGTTGGCTTGCCAAACAAGCTCTTACCTGTCATTGACTATCAGCCCTCAAAGAGTGTCCATCCCTGTGGAGTCACCCCAAGTCAGGAGGATCAGGCCTTTTGAATTTCAGAAAGCTAGGCATGCATAGCCTCCTGTGGAGGACTATGAGTTGGATGTCTAAGAGTCATTAACACCTGAAGAGTTGCCTTAGTGGCATCCCATTGTTGCCTGATGTGCTGTAAGACACTTTAAAAGGAGAAAGACTAAAAGTACTACCATGCCAATCAAAACATAAGTGAGAATCCAGGAGGGATCAAATAGCCTTTTTATATTATGCCAAATCTTTTCAAAAAATAAAGAGTCAAAGTCTATAACCTCTGCAACATCATACACCTATCTCTAGCAGAACAGTGCCAGGCCTAGATTCTGGGCATCCTAGGCCCAACACAGATGGAGAGTCAGTGTGATGCTTGCTGAGGGAGGGGTTGACAGAGCTCCTGCTCCCTTAACACTGTGAACCTTTGTCTCCAAAGGCAATGCACAGGGTGGAGTTGACTGTAGATGAGGATGGAGCAGAAGAGGAAGACATTTCCAGTTTCCAGTCCCTCCCCAGGCCACTCCTCCTTTCCATCCACTTCAATAGGCCCTTCCTACTATTAATTCTGGAGGAGGCTGGCCACAATCTTCTCTTTATGGGGAAAGTGCTGAATCCTGGAAAATAGAAAACTGTCCAAAGCTTAGACAGTGGCTGGCCTATGAGGTTCACAGGAAGGCAGGGGGTGGGGCAGTGAGTCTGGCCTTCCTTTGCTCATGAATGTGTGGTTTGATAATCTGTGGAGTAAAATTGGCTACTCAAGGGGGCCTTGTGCAAAGAGGAAGACAGACACACAGGCTGAGCATCTGTGAGGGAGAGGTCCAGACCTCATGTCCTTTAAGAACCACAAAGGAAGGCACCAAGGGGAGAGTGGGGCTGAAGGCCCTGAATTCTGATTTAAGACCCTCACTATCTGGGTTGTAGTAGAGTTCTATTCCTTTGAAGATTGGTTCAATAAAACAGCAAATGAGAATGTTGTGAGTGGTGTTCTTGGATGAGCAGGCAGGGAAGGACTTGGAGACTCTGCTAAGAACAACCTGGGAGCATACTTATGAGACAGAAAGGTTAAGGTCATCCTTTCATTGCTGCTTGCTGGAATCTAGATGGCCCAGTGGCTCACAAGGGTGTCAGCTAAGCCTCTACTTCCTTGGCACATGGCTGAGAAGAAAAGCAAGCAGGGGATGTCTCTGGGTCACTTTGATGAAAGGAGTTACTGGAATTTAAGTTGTTTTGAAGGCCATCTTCATGCAGCAATCAGCTCTGCTCCTGTACACTCTTTCCGAGAGGGAACCATCCTCCATGAGGAAGATGTCTTCACACAAGTCATTAGAGTCAGCATCCATTAAGCACCAACTGTGTATAAAGTGCAGTCATAGGATTGAAAGACAAAAATGGAGGAGTGTCTCCAAATTCAAGAGCCCATTCCACAGGCACAGGACATGCCACCCTTCTGCAGCCATCATGGATGCATAGGCATGGGTTAACACTGTAACATATTGTCTTGATCTACAAACAGGATTCATGTTCTTACTGGCAGTTGTGTCAGATGGAGTTTTGAGAGGAATGGGTGAGCATCCCAGGGTTGGCAGTTTGCCTTACTGTGAGAGAGAGAAATGAGGTAGCTTTGCTGTCAGCTGATGCCAATAAGCAACAGCGAATGAGCAGCTCAAGTTGATAGGAACTTGTAGTGACTTCAAAAGTTCCTTCAGTCACCCACAGACACTGTCATACCACAGCTGCTGCCCCTCCTCCAAAGCCTCACATACTTCATGCTCCAGCTGGACGGAAACTCAGTAGTTGTGTCCTGCCTGGCATATTGCTGCCTGCTTAGCATACAGTTGCCTTCTTTCATTCCAGCTCATTCCATTTGTATGCAACTCCAACAACACTTCAGCCCCACCAGGATGCATAACCCATAGAGTTTTCTGGTTTCGCTTCCCCATCTTCCATCAGGTCCTCCTTGCTCGGTTAATGTCCATGATCAGTTCCATCCCAGCTCTTTTGCTCTTATCCCTGGCCAAAATCATCTAACTCCATGCTTGAGTCTCAGCTTTGGGAAGTGGCCAAAGACTGTGCACACTGATTACCTCACTGTACTCAGGACTGTCACCTCTGAGCCACCTTTGGGCTCAGGGTGGTGACTCTGCTCCTACATGCCTTTCACGATCCCACTGTCCACACTCATCCCACCCCCTCCCCACACCTTCCTCTCTAAGCCACTCTCAGCCCCACCCTTCCTCTCTGATCATTCCTGGCTGATGACCTTGCTTCTTTCACCATCAACTACTGACATCCACCCCTACCTACCTTCCTGTGACATCAGGACCCTGTCATGCCCAGAATGAGGCCACCCCGTGTCTGCCTTTTATCTCTCTCACCCAAACACTGCTGCACCTGTCTTCACTTCAGAATCTGTAGTCACAGACCTTCCCCATCACCAAGTTTTTCCTAACTGGATACAAATAGGTTCTTAAACATAATCTGCCTCATATTTAAACAGAGAGATTGATAGCTGCTAAATGGATACATAGGTACAGGTGATAGATGGGTGGGTAGTATTGATATAGATGCTCCAGAGATAATTAATAGGTCATGGGTAGATGCATAGAGGAAAGAAATTGATAGATAACTGATGATATAGATGAAGGATGGATGGATGGATAGGTAGATGATTGATAGATATAGATAGATAGATAGATAGATAGATAGATAGATAGATAGACAGATAGATAGAAAACCATTGTTCCTTCTCACTAACTCACTACTGCTTTTAGAAATTGTTATGTTTCTGTATTCCAGTGAGGATAACCAGTTTTAGCAGTTTGCCTTGGAATAAAAAGGGTTCCAGGATATGGGATTTCTATAAAGTATGAGTTTTATATATAAAAAAAAACCAAAACACCAGGGCTCCCATGGCTTGTTCAGCCTGCTTTCTTAAACCACCAAAGACCCCCACTGGAGAACACCACCACATCAATCATTAATCAATAAAATGTCCCCACTGACTTGCCTTCATGCTAATCTGTTAGAGGCATTTTCTCAATGGATATTCCCTCTTCCCAGATGACTCTAGCTTGTGTCAAGTAGACACAAGTCTAACCAGCACAATTGACCCCTTATTAACTTAACATTTGTCAAGTAACACATCACTATTAAACCATAACTTATCCTTTCTTGTTTATCCACAAGATCTCATCTTATCCTCAATACCACAATATAAAACACATTAAAACTTCCAAAAGATTAACAGTCTTCAAAAGTTCAGTCTCTTTAAAATATTCAAAGTCTCCATAAAAATCCAAAGTCTCTTAATTGTGTGCCTCTGTAAAATAAAATTTAAAAAATATTTATATACTTCTTATTCCAAAAGGGAAGCATAGTCACACTCTGAAAACAATCAAAACCAAATGCCAACATGGAAAATTAAATCCTGTTGCTCAGTGTCCCATGTATAGGAATCACTCAAAGTCTTCTAGGTCCCAAAGAGCTTAACAACTCCGGCTTTGCCATTCACAACATGAATAAGTCACCTCACAGGCTCAGGTTGGCTCCATTCCACAGCTTCTGCTGTCCTTGGTAGTCTTCCTACAGTCCTGACATCATTTCCAAAATGTTGGGGTCTTTGCAGGATACACCTTCACCAATAGCCTGCTGGGGACTCTGGCCCTGTCACATGGCAACAAGCTTCAGCCTCTCTCCGTGACCCCTAGAATCCTGGAGTCTCCACTGCTAATGAGACTGCACTTTCACCAATGGCCTCTCCTAGTCTCTCACTGTGTCAAGCTTCTTACGCTCCCCATCATCACCTCAGTCCTGAAGCTCTCATACCATCAAAACCAGCAATATGTGAGAGACTCTTACACATGACCAAGCTCAGCTGCCAGAATAAGATGCAGCCTTGACCTCCTCTAGCCCACAGCCCCTCTGTGATGCCCTGAGGAATACTTCACAAGATTTCACCTCAATACTGTTGGTCTCTTCTTAATCACAGCTGATTTCTCATCCCTAGCTTCCAGTTGTCCTATTGGTTGTCACAATCTGATGGAGACGTTTCCTCAACTGAGGATTCCTCTTCACAAATAACCATTGCTATGTGAAGTAGACCAAAAAACAAACAAAAAAAAAACCTGACCAAGCAGCACAAAGGTTTCATTTCCAGTGTCTTAATAAAAAACAATCACATGAATGACCCTGATACTTTGTTTCCCTCTGAAACTTCACAAGCATCATATGCATTTCTCTCAGCATCTTCTTCCTAGATCCCACAGCACCTCTTTAATCTCTGTACAGCTAATAGCTTTTCTGGGCCAGTTATCCAGGATCCTTCCACAACAGTCTCCAAAACACGATCAGAGATGTCACATCAATACCCCAATTTCTGTCCTAATGTGGCTTTTTATTGCTACTATAAAACATTGATCAAAGGCAATTTGAGGAGGAAAGATTTTATTTGCCTTACATGTTCTGATTACAGCCCATCATTGAAGGGAGCCAAAGCAGGAACTTGGGGCAGTAACCTGGAAGCAGGAACTGAAGCAGAGGCTGTAATTGTTGTTGTTTTTTACTCTTTAGGGGCCCACCACACAGCTCCAAAATAAATACATGGAGACTTATTCTTACTTATGAATGACCAACCTCTGCTTGGCTTGTTACTAGCCAGCTTTTCTTAAGTGATCCCATCTACCTTTTGCCTTTCTCTATTTCTGTATCTTTTCTTTTCTTCTTATTCTGTGTCCAGCTGTATTGCTGAGTGGCTGGCCCTTGACATCCTCCTCTCCTCCTTTTCTCACTTCTTCTATTTATTCTCTCTGCCTGGCAACCCAGCCTACCCCTCTCCTGCCTAGCTATTTGCCATTCAGCACTTTATTAGACTATCAGGTATTTTCAGCAGACAAAGTAACTCAGCTTCACAAAGTCAAACAAATGCAGCATAAGAGAATGTAACTCATCTTTGCATCATTAAATAACTATTCCACAGCATAAAAGAATATAACACATCTTTAATTTATATTCCACAACAAGAGGCCACAGAAGATCACTGCTTACTGGCTTGCCCAGCTTGCTTTCTTATACAACCCAGTGTAGCTAGAGTTTTCCTGCTTGGCCCACAGTCAAGACAAATCTCTCTTACCTGCCAGTCCCACAGCTGCTCAGACACAACCAAGTAAACACAGAGACTTATATTGTTTACAAACTGTATGGCTGTAGCAGGCTTCTTGCTAACTGTTCTTATATCTTAAATTAACCCATTTCTATTAATCTATAAGTTGCCACGTGGCTCGTGGCTTACCGGTTTCTTAGCATCCTCTCATGGTGGTGGCTGTCAGCATCTCTCTGACTCAGCCTTCCACTTCCCAGAATTCTCCTCTCTCCTTGTCCTGTCTATACTGCCTGCCTGGCTACTGGCCAATCAGTGTTTTATTTATCAATTAATCATCCACAGCAACCCAGGACCATCTGCACAGGTGCACCACCTCTCAGTGTGGGTTAGGCCCTACCACATTCGTCATTACAGAACTGCCCACATACTGCCTACAGGTCAATCTAATGGAAGCATTTCCTCAGCTAATGTTCTCTCTTCCCAGGTAACTCTAGATTTTATCACTCTGTGTCCAGGTGATAAAAATA